TTTCCTAATTATCCTCTTCCAGACAATGTGGAGAAGTGATATTAAAACTTGAAATACTAGGGTATAAAGTGAAAACTGTAGAATTTAAATCAAAAAGGTTAATGGTAAGATATACTACTGCTAGTAGGCAACGTACCAGTAAACCTCACTGGTTGTGGCACTATAAAGGGTCTTGCTTAGTTAGTACTGTTAATTTACTGTTAGGTTTTTAACTTTGTAACCCCTGAAGTTGTCAAAAACTGCATATTACACAGGTCTACTCTTGCCTTCACCAATGCACCAGGGATTTTTTTATTTTGTGCACAAATCTTGTAAGGTCAGTTCTATCAGCTACCTTCTCAATAGCGCAGCAGACTCGTCTGCTACTGCTTTACAGTCCCTGGGAATCATGGGACATGCTACTTGCTAATTTATTCACACTACGTATGACAGGGGCATCTACACCAGTGAAACATTCTCTTCTCTCATTTTTTTAGTAGGTCAATGAAGGTAAAGAGCTAGCGAGGCCACTGTAAACTGTTTTACCAGGCAAGTAGAGAAAACTTCAGCTGTTAAAAGCAGCTTTTACTAAAGTAAAAGAAAAATCTAATAATATATATAATATTATATGCTATAAGCACTAGACAGAATACTCAAATTAAATGTAAGAGGCTGATTTTTATGGGATATGCAATTATGTCTGCATTTTACTGTCGGCTTTTGGAAAAGCATCATTTGCTAATGTATTTGACATAACAATTTCAGCTAAGCAGTTGTCTTGCAGTGGTGGGTTCTCCTTAGAATGATACAATTCATTACTTGCAAAAATATTTCTCTGCCCAAAATAAGTATAATGTCACATCCTCCTTGCCTTTCTGCATTATCTTGCCTGTTCCTGTTGCTCATTCAGATATGGGTGCAGTTTTACCTTTCATTTGAGGGCTGAATCATGCTGGTGGTTTGGTTTTGCCAACTCAAAGTCTCTGGCACAGCAGGGACATCAGATGTTATCGGATTGAAAACATTCACCAACAAACTCTGGAATGAAAGAAAATAAGTTTGCACAAAAGATCTTTGTCCTCAGTTGTCGTCTTAAACTTCAGTACATACATGTGTTAAACAAGAAAGACTGTGCATAGCTTTATGTTAGCAGTATTTTTAGAACACATATTCTCATCTCAAACTAAAGCAGGTCTGAATTAATTGATTTTAGCAACGTTATTCACACTGCAAACATGTACTAACGGTAGTCCAAATGACTTCTTTATTATTCAAATAATTTGAATATATATGTCTACTGCTTCATTGGCGTTAAGTTGTAAAAACTTATATGATGCTTGCCTTGAGGTTAGGGCGCCCCCTTCTGTTAGCTGAAATAATTGCACCACAGTTCCTTCAATTGTGACAGTATATCCATCCATTTTCAGTACAAATTTCTTGGTAAGGGTCAAATTATTCTTAGCACAATTATATTTGGTAACAAAATATGTTGAATGTTGTCTCAACTCACTTTTTAGTTTCTTTCTCAGTATTTTCTCTTTCACTATTAGGATTTCTAAACCTATAGATTTGTCATTATTCTGACTGTAATCTGCAGCAGGTGAGCTGTTTTTGTATTGCCAGTTGTACCTCCCATATAATCTCAGATTATGAAATAAAAATGATGCAAATGAAGGCCATATGTGAATTTCAAGATATTTTAATAACAAAAGGGGGAAAATTGATTAAGACTGAAAAAACTTGAAATAATGCTGCTAATATGCAATACAAGAACAGTAAAATACAGTGTGCAGCTGAAAGAGAACAACGATAATGGACAATGGCAAACAAGGCAGTTCGGGAATAGGTAAATAAATAATTACAGATTTATACAGAAACAAATGCTGAAAATAACACAAAATCTCTATTACTTGTACACTGTACAAAAGTATAATGGGGTCACAGAATAATAAAGAAATAAAGGTTAACATAGTAACTTCCAAAACACTTTTATGGTTCTCTGAACATCCTTACATTGTTCCAGCATTCCAACTCATAAGGCCTGATGCAAATTATTCCATTATCTCCCTTGTAGATCAAGCTTACCCTTTATTGCCAAAAGGGCAACAAAAGGGATATCCATATCTATTCCTGCATTCCTGATAATTCTGATGATTAAGTGGATATTTACTCTGACTCAACGCCTTTCGTTGTTTTTTAGATGTTAATGATAAAACTGGTTTCATCAATAAAAATCTAGTATTATTTTGTTTTAGTTGATTGATCTTTAAAATGTTAAATGTATTGTAATGCTTAACCATATACATATTATAAAATGTAGCTTAACCTGAAATTATCTTTATTTTCTCTGTATCTGTTTAATATACAAGTGACATGTCTTGTAGTTCTTAATCAGTTTTATCCAAACTGGAAGAGAATTGTCATGTCCATGTGGTCAACATGGATGACTAGTTACACCGCTGAGATCTCAGACCAAGTAAGGCACAAGCTTTGTCATGCATGCTCCATATTCACCCTTCCAATGCTTCAAGGGAATTAAACATCTTCCTGGATATTCAGTCTGAAACTCATCTGGTGGAATCACATTGACTGTATACCTGAGATGGATGATAATCAGATCAGTCATGAAGCTGGATCACCTTTAGAAATGAGACACTTTGGACATCTGCCCTAGCAGTTTCAAAGTGTGAGAATATTATGGCTCCAGTGTGGATTCTTTCCCATCAGCAGATGGTTGATGTAGAATCTCACATTGACATGCACATCAGTTTGTGTGATTAAGATGATCAGTCCTGGTATTCCCAGTGGACATATACTAGACAGAGAGAGGAATGGGCTTCATTAGTATATAGATCCAAGTATGGTCAATAAGAGCTGGTGGGTATTCTACATACTGTACTAACCACACTATGGGCAGCACAAGTCATGGAACATGAAAATCAATGCCTATCTCATCAAACTTGAGGGTGAGCTTTACAACAGTCTCTACACCTACAGACAAAGCTAAATATTGACACCTAAGAAGAATATTGATTTTACAAACGTCAGGAACAAAGTTGGTGAATATTTACGAAGAGTACTTTTACCTGGTCTCTAAATATACCATATATTAGGGAAAAATACTTAAAATAAAATGCACACAAAACAAGTTCAGAACTTCGTCCAATAATTCCCTTCCTATGTGCTATTCACAAAAATGCACAGCATAAATTATCTGTAGTACGCATGTATTGCTTTCTGTTTGTTTACCACAGCTGGTGTTTGGGTCCATTCACAAATATGCAAGCTTATTTATACAAAAACAATAAACAGGACTAACTCAACAAAGGCCCTTTTCCATGTTTCTATATTATTAAAGAAAGTTCCATGTTGCTACCATGTGCATTTTATCCTTGAACAGAAAAACTGGGAACATACAGTATATACAGGTCTTCCTAAAATTGTCTTGCATGAAGAAAACGGCAGAGATTGGGATAGATTGAATATCCTGCATCCAGCTGAAGACTTTGAGAAGGATATAACTAGGTTCAGGCTCATCAGAGTTCCAGCATTGTCCTAAAGTGTTGCGCCCTGTGGGCTAACTCTTTGGCAAAGTCCTGGGCTTCCTGCAGAGCTATTTTCTCTGGGAAATGCACTGCTGCTTTCTTGGTGGCTACAGCCAGCTGTTTGAGCAGGGCACAGAGGTGATTACTCTTGCAGAGCAGGTCCTGGTTAGTATCCCTACTGTGTGCCTCCCGGCACAAGGTGTTCACCAGCTTCTGGCCCACCATGATCACAAGCTTGCTGTGGGCAATGAACTTCTCAGGCGGCTGGCCCTCCACCAGGCTGCCAATGAATACAGAGATGGCTTTCTGCAGCGCTCCGAAGTAAAGCTTGCAGTGCTCTGAATATGGTATCTTCTGCTTCTCTTCAGCTTTCCTTGGAGAACATGGGGCTGTCTTCTTTGGCTCTACCTGGCAAAGACAGGCAAACAAACATTGCAGAATACTTCGCATATAGTCTAAGGCTTAGATTGTATTTAACAATCAAGAGTAAGAAACACCTGAAAGCCATATGTTAGTTATGTATGAATGATATACTATCACTTTGCAAATGATAGACAACATGTGTGTATTGACTAACTAGGTACTTTTGGCCAATAAATAATGCATACCTGCATGTTTTACGTTATTATCCTTGTGTTAGGCACTCAACGATAAGCTGTATTTCATAAAATAAAGTTGTCATGAATGCCTTACAGGTGTCTCCTATTCTGAAAGGTATCCAGAAGTGTGCACTCACTATGCCTATAAAGCAAAAATTGAAATTCCTTTTACATCTGTCTTTCTAATATGAATGCTTAACAATGTACAGTATTTTGTCTACTTCTTGTTTTACTAATCAATGTAATTGATTGATTAGAGGCTGTGGTAGATCAAGGATTTAAAACATTTAATAATCAAAAAGTAGATGGAAAGGTAACAATCTGAGAAATAAATATAAAAAAGAGCGAAGTTTGCAGTAACATTGCTCTGTTACTGTAATGTGAGCACTTAAAAACAGGAGCAAACCCATATACAGTGTGCATCACAAAAAGCTAGTTCTAGCTATAACTTTTTCTGTAATTATTCATGTACTTCTTATAGGACAAAAGTGGGTTGCCTTTGGAGAGACAAACTGCAGCGTAACTGAGAAACCAAAATAAAATAACATACAATATTTTGTTGCTAACCTAAAAGAGACAAAACTGTATTTCAGGAATAGTTTTTGTTTAATAAGTACACTTTTTGGCAAATTTCTGCCAGAAGCCTCATTGAAAGTGTCTGCCAGCCCCTGTGACTGTTTCAGTGCACTTGGCTCAGCACTGGTGTGGGGGAGAATGTGCAGAAACAGTTGTGCCAACTTCAACTGGGACTGTACTTTGGGGACCTGTTATTGGCAAGGTATGTTTATTACAATCCACAAGAGGGAGTCTAACTTCTTCATATTATTACACTGTTTGTTCCGTGATGATCTAATTTCCACAAAAACAGGAACTTTATGCATGACTGCATTTTAATTATTCACTTAATCTCTTCAGTCATTAAATTTACCCAGGAGAAAATTGATTCACATTCAATTTCAGATTGAGTAAATGAAGATCCCATGCTTAGACTAGGTCATGTAAAGATGTCACATTTTCAATAATGACGGCTTATCCCTTGCTGTGTCTTATTGTCATCTCATTGGTCTATGCAGGGTTTGACTCTGGCCTTGTGGAAAGGCATCTTGTGCACTGATATGGACCCAATCAAGTTCTGTTAGGATATGGGGAGAATCCTTGAACTTGAAAGAAGGAAAGTTATGCCTCTGTCAAAGTCTTCATTCTCTTACCTGTTGTTCAGAAGAGTTTTGGCTGCCTAACTTTGACCTCTTGTTCTCCAGCTGAAGTCTCCTTTGCTGTTCGAACTCCTCCTTCCTCTGAAAGACAAGAATACCTCCATCAGCATCTCTTGAGAGAATAATGAACACACAGACCATACTCAAGGGATTTATAATTCATGCTGTTCTTATGCTGTATACAAATGATACAAAAAATAATAGTAGTACAGAGTAATTTTCTCTTCCACCATAGGATGTTTCCCCTTCATTGAAAGCTGCATTATGTAGAAATGTAAGCCACATTTAGAGACATTGTGCAAATAACTTGTTGCTGTTTTGTATTATTTCAATCAAACTTTTTGTTGTTATTTAGGTTAAGCCTCTTAAATATGCACCCCATGTATCAAAACTGATAACTTAAGATCCATACATCCATTTTCTAATTGCTTTATCCAATGTGGGGTTGATGATGAGGCAGAGCCTATTCTGGCAAGCAGCAGGTGCAAGGTAGGATAGAACCTGGATGGGCCACTAGTCAGTTGTGGTAAACTAGGTTATGTTATAAAAACTAAGAAGAGCCAATTACCTGCAGCTGTACGTAGTCATTGTCTTCTCCTCCCGAGTCACTTGTCTCTTTACACCCGGCAAAGATCTTCTTCTTCTTATCTGATTCACTGATGGTCGTGGGGGTGTCTGCCTCTTTCTGCGAAGGCCTGAAAAGCAGTTTGCCATTGGCGTTGAGAATGGACACCAGCCGCTTGACGTCTTCGGGCACCGTACGGGCCACCATGACAAAACGGTCCAGCTGGTCAGGGGGCGTGGCCTGGCTGGGGTCCTGGGCGAGGGTGTCCAGCCGCCAGCCGTCCTGCTTCAGTATCCTCTCAGCCTCACGCAGGATGAGACCAGAGTCGACCACGATGGCCAGCTGCTTGTGGAGCCGGCCCTGCAGGTTGGCGTCTGTCAGCCGCCTGGCGTTGCCCCTCACGTCAGCGGCGAAGCTCATGAAGTCGGTGAGCGAGCCGGCGATGTCCTCAGTCGCGCTGCGGACCTCCTCCAAGTGCACACTGAGGTGCTCCCTGCTCCTCCAGAGGCTGCTCACGAAAACCATGAGTCGTGACACAGCCCGGCACACCGCCTCTTGTAGCTCCACCAGCCGCTTGCTGGCCTCCTCCTGAGTGAGTGTCACCTCTCGGACAGGCTCTGGGGATGAGGAGCTCAGCGCTGCAGAGTCACAGGAGCTGGCCGAGGAGGTGGAAGAGGTAGAGGAAGTGGAAACTGTGCTGCTGCGCTGGCTGTCCACCCCCGACACGCATGGTGCCTCCCTGTCCTCCTCCCCACCCTGCAGAAGAGAGTCCCTTGAAGTGGGCACGTCGTAAAGGGGGTGTGAGCCTGAGCTCACCTCCTCCCTCCCAGGAAACCCATGGGGCAAGTCGTTCATTGGGCCGGGCATCCCCCTACGCAGCGTGGGCACATGGCCTCGCAGGGCATCACTGGGGTATCTGGGGATGACTTGCTCCTGGATAGTTGGGGGAACTAGATGAAAAGACCCCTCATTCTTTACCCGGGAATGGAAGATTTTGTACACAGGACCTTTGTTTTGAGCATCGGGGGGACTTCCGTTCCCTTGGGGTTGTCTTAGATCAGTGCTGGGCTTAGGGATGTCATATAAAGAGTGGGTCAGAGTGGGGTTTTGGGGACTCCCAATGCGGGCAGGCAAAGTATCATAGAAGAGCTGCCTCCCACTTGCTGGTCCCTTTGTGGGCAGTGTGCTACAGGATTCTTGATTCAAGTCTTGTTTCTCTGGCGTAACAGGGACATCATAGATCCACTCAGACTTGCGTGGGTTGGGAAGGGTGCTATATCCGCCTGCCAGCCTCTTCTGAGCCTCATCTGTCAATGATGTGGGGATGTCATAGCAGGGATCCTGGTGGACTGAGGGTGGAACAGCATAGACCTTTGAGAAAGACCAAAAGGAAAAACAGTTGAGTCTTTTTTCGCAGAAGCATCTCTTGGTTACCACTTTTATAAATGTGAAATAAACTGATCATGATGTTTAGAAAACACCTACAGCTGTAAAAGAAAAAGAGACAGCTCAGAGCTCAACAGCAGAATCAAGCAGAATAATAAAATAGTGTCTTCAAACAGACATTGGAGAAGGCTGCAAAGACAGATCTGAACATCTAGGGGCGTGTAATGTACTGTAAAACAATGCTCTTAAGACTCCTTTTTCTACTAAGCGTGGAAAACTCTGAAATGAGCTTCAGAATCAAGATAAAAAGCTGAACAAAATGTTAAAAAGCTGTGAAGAGGTGGTGGGCAACCCACATTCTCAACAGTTTGGACTGTAAACCCCCAACCCCCCCCTCCCCACGGCATAGAACCTGGAAACAATTGTTAATTTGTTCACTTTGGCAAATACTTTGCAGTAACTATGAGCAGGCCTGGAATTAAAACCAGATCCACCCAGTGCCCTACTGCAGAACCATGCAACAGCAGTGTTCAGTGATGGTTTTAATTGGATAGGTCAGAAGCAGATAAGGCCAGAGAAAGAATTCATGTTAGTATACTTTGTACTGACATTGCTCACGTTGGCAGCGCTGTCCTTGGCACTCTCGAGAATTTCGTAGGTCTGTTGAAGCTCAGAGCGGGTTGTGAATAAGGAGGTCTTCCTTGTCATTGGCCGGGTAGCTGGCATCTGGAAAGGAAGAAAGGCTATTTCCGTTAGCTGAGCTATTTCTTTCATGCACACCAAAAACTCTCAGGTGAGCTGCAAAGATCCTCTCACAAACAGCAGAGATGATTGTGCATACATCTTCCATGCTTTTGTATTGTGGAGCCATTCGCCATTGTCCAGAGTGCCTACAGCAGAGGTAGTATTGTCTAGAGGACTGGTGCACCTCTTGCTGGTAAAAGCATTCACACACAGTACAGATGGGCACACATATGAACAAAGACACTGGAAGACATGAAAACTCAAGACGTGCGCACAGAGGCACAGATATAAACAAACAAAAGGCAGAGGAACTGACCGTGAAGAGAGAGCTCCGACGACTTAGTGTTGGGACATCATATACTTCCTTGCTGGGGCAGGAGAGTCTGGGGACACAACTTGTCATCCCCCCAAGTGACATACATGCCTGCACAGAGACAAGGAGGAAGAGAAACACCAGTTTAGTACTTCTCGTGCTATTTCAATAGGTGAAAATTACAGTAAAACTATTGATTTAATTTTTAACCCACTACTTTAAGCTTTCTACAGTTCCGATGGAATCAAAAAAGTTCAGAGCTGAAACTCTGTCGGCAGCACTGTGGCGGGGTTATTAGCACTATTGCCTCAAAGCTGTGGGGTTCTGGATTTGATTCTAGATTCCACGTGTAAAATTTGAATGTCTTTCCCATGTTTATATGGGTTTTAGCACATGTTTTGGTTTCCTCTCAAAGACAGTGCAGTTAGGGTTAATTGGATTCTTGGAGCTGTCCGTTTTTACAGAGGTTTTACAGAAGTTACACTTGGGTTATGAGAATGGGAATACAGAGCAACAAAAACAAGCCATAAAATGGCCCTTTGTGCTTTTTCTGAAGGTCTTATATTCTTTGTGAAGCCACACAGCCAAAGGAAGGAGCGGAGTGGTTCTCTCTTTTTGTTAAATCTGGAGCAGCCAGAATAAGAACGAGTTAATCTCAAAGATTAAGGCAGACCCCAGACAGGTTATTGATATTTACTTAACCCCTACCCAATTCTACACTACTGGTCTACCTTGCTGTGGTTTTCAGATACAGCCGAGAAGCTTAAAGTCTTACTAAATCCTACCTCACTGCAATGTACGAAGTAAAGTGAAGAATAAGCAACATCCATGATGGCTCCAGCCATTATTCTGTCACTAAACATTCAACGTGTCCTTACTTGATTGTGATGCAGCGTTCCATCCTATCTTTCTCCTACCTGTTATGGTCCTTGTGTACCACGTGACCAAAGGAAAGTGCTTACAATTATATCAAAATTCTCCTTTTCCAGATAGGTGTACTACAGTGTATGCAGACCTCCTCAGCCTTTTCTGTTTGATGTTTCATCTATCCATCCATAGTTAAGTGCTAACCATCATGCTACAATGTCACCCAATATGTCTATTAGTCAAAGTTGATTTTCTTGTTTATTTAAGCTTTCCTAATTTGAGCCTGTACTATTGGCTAAATGTGCTGTAGCCCACTGTTTCCTCTTAGGATTATTTTGGCACTGGTCTCTAGGGGAACAGGCCATGAAATGTTTTGTTTTCAAGGTATATGGGTATAGTGTGACAGATGAATGGAGAATTACATAAGTTTGATTTAATTAGCTTCTAGTATCTGTATTATCGATGATGGATGGGTGGCTTAATCTTATCAGGAAAGATTAGAAAGCCTTACTTACTTTACCACCAGCCAGGAGCCATTAGTTTAACACTCATTCTTTGTTTTTGCTAGTGCCAGTATGATTGAGGAGATAGGTGTATAGCTGGGGGTTGGGGGTATGTTTGTCATGGAGGGGGGAGGGAGTGAAACTGGGTAGTTTGAGAAAAATGGGGCCTCTTCATACTATTGTTCCTGATTTATAAAGACAAGACTCCCAGCAATGGGTACAACCTGAGTGTCAACTGTATGGGCTCCCTCTATGGCCATAAATAAGATGGAAACATTAACATCTAAGAACTAAGCTCCTAGAAATCAATTTTATTTACAGTTATAAAATCTTCCAATTATGTTCAAAAAGAACATCTCTGTTAGTGAGTGGCTTAAAAACAGTCAGAAATACAATGGATGATGTATTTATTGGAGCTGATTGGAAAAAAAACTGTAAAAGTAATCCTGTAATGGAAATCCTAGGCATAGATTTTATTGACAAATCCAAATTGTGTCTGGACAAACAATAATTACATGTAATAAAGTGGTGTATAGTCTTTTTTACATTTGTATAAAATAACAAAACATAAGTCTGCATCAATAAACCTATATTCTCTCCTAACAGTATTTGTTATTTATAGTGGATTTATAAGAACATGCCACTCTTTGACTATATACAGCTCTGCTGTCCATTCAATCTTTTTTATGAGGCCTGGTGGCACAGACTCTTGCTGTTACCATTGTAGGGTTAACTAGATTGCACACAAGGTGTTCTGAGCCACCTTAAGGTTTATGGACCTTTATGGCACCCAATTATATGAAAGGTAGTAGAGAGAGACAGGAGGTGGGTCATATTTACTTCATCCTAAAGGATGTATCAAGCAGTCAAAAGGTGGATGTAGGTAAGACTTCGGGATAAGATCCCGAAGGGAAATTGAGGTTTTGAAATTGAGGTTTGAAGTTTTAAAGTTTTGAAATTGAGGTTTTGGGAATTGAGGTTCCATTAAATGGAAATTGAGGGAAATTGAGGATGTCTGTAATCTTCCTCCCCAGCCTCTGCTATCATACTCCAGAACATGATTAGGGATGAACATGCCTGTTGTATTACAAATGTGTTTCAGTACGCATGACAGGCAGTATAAGACATGTATAAGAGATATGCACGTCATAATTGACAGTCACTGTTGTTCAATTTGTGAAAGTTTCCACTTAATGCATTTTTTGGTAGTATTTAAGAACTATCACATGCCGCAAGCTTTCAACATGTCTGGATTTGGCCAATTAACCAGATTCACTAATCATCTATAATGGAAGCCATGCTCCCTGGCTCTCTCATTGCTGTGAGTAAAATAGCTTCTGTAAAGGGAAACCAGGTTTCTTCATTAGAAGGATGGGGAAGTGGTTACTGTGGGCAGCCGCCCCCTCCACACACACACACATAGCAGGTCACTTCTTCCATTGAGGTATGGTAGCAGTGCCCCTGTTTGCAGTCAGCAATGTCTGATCCCGGTCGTAAACTAATATTTTACAGGCTCATAAAAGGTAAACCAGTACATGCCTGTCCCAGTGGAGAGCCCCTCCATCCCATCTGTAAACGCTTTTAGCAGCAGGGGCTTCGGAGGGCACCATCTTGTCTCCTGTCTGCTCTCCCCTCATCAGTGCACACTGCTGCCCTGTCTCGCCAGTTCGTCAGATGTGCACAATGAGAAACCAAAGCACCCAAACACCCAAGAGGGGGGAAGGAGACAATCGGCGAAAAGCCTTGTCATTGACCGTTTGTAATAAAGTCACAACAGATCAAGACGAGATTAATGAACATCTTGTTTTGGTGGGTTAAAAAGTCTGGCCAATATTAAATGCCAATTAAAAATGTTTTGTTTTTTTTAATGAAAAATTTATACTCATGCAATGTACTGTCCAACCATTTTCTAGCGGTTTTACCCACTAAGCGATGGGTGCAAGGCAGGATACACTCTGGACAGGATGCCAGCCCATCTCATGGCCCACACACAGACACAAACACAGACACGCTCACTCACACCAGGGCCAATTTTTCTCAGGAACAAATTAACCTACCATTATAGGAACCATAGGAACAACATGGAGAGAACATCCTAAATTCACACAGATAGTGCCTCAAGTCCAGAATTCAACCCAGGGCCACAGCAACGCTAACCACTGTGCCACCATGCTATCCTGTACGATGCAAGTCAATTAAGTTGAGATTGTGATCATGTTTTTGTATGATAAGACCACACCTTTTTATTGACCTCACTGTTAAATTCTATCGAATACTCATGCAATGTGGGTGTCTAGTAGCTGGGACTCCTTGTGCCAAATTGTGGCTGGGATCTCATCCACTTAGGCTGAGCCTTACCTTGCTGGGAGAGTCCCCTGGCCTCTCGGAGGGTTTCCTGCTCGGGGAGGGCGAGAGGCCTCGGGCAGCTTGCTGCGGGGTAGAGGGCACTTTGTAGACGCTGTCCATGATCTCGTAGGCTGGGCTGGAGGCCTGACGCGGGGCAGAAGGGATCTGGTAGATGTTCTGGGGGCTGCGGCTGAGCAGTGTATCCAGGGCGGGGGGACCGTCGGCGCAGGCGGTCAGACAGCCCACTTCCGACCCACCGGGCAGGACCTCGGCCTGAGAGGGGGGCAGGAGGTGGAGCCGATTGGCGGGAGCGAGCCCCTGCTGCCCATGCAAAGAGCACTTCCACCAGCCATGGCTGCCGGCCACGTTCTGCTCAAGCACCATCAGGATGTCGCCCTTCCGGAACGCCAGCTCGTCGGAACACTCGGCCACATTGTCGTAGAGAGCCTTGGCCAGCAGATTCTGGGGAAGAAGCAGAAGGACAGCCCTGACGTCAGCCCCCTTAGCGAAGTGAACAGTGAGTGCAGCGATTGCGAAATGTCTTCAACCTACTGATGTAGTCTGAGGAACAGCTGCAGCACAGCAACCATTGGGAAAAGCTAGCAAAGTGCTTTGACTTAAAACACGCTGTGAAAACCATCCTAAGCTAAAGCTTCAAAAATAAGAGAAAGCAGAATTGCTTTCCTCATGATTTATGGAAAATGAATTTGCCTACAGTTGAAAAATGCGAAGTCTTAAGGGTTATTTTTTCATTCCAAAAGAAGACAGTGTTAAAAACATGACATTTGGATCAATGTGATCACTCACTTCTCTTTCACTGAAATACCAAATACTGAAATGTATTTTACAACATAAAGTTTTTAAAAAGATTTTAATCACTTTGGTAATCACTCTTCAAATAACCTTTCACAAACTACTAGCATCTTATGTAAAAAGCTCTTTTATACAAATTGAATAAAAATGAAAGTGAACAGATACAATGTATTTAGACTGCAGAGAAATAGTGGTTAGTGGTAAAGCTGTCAGATTGTACTGCACTCCTCAGTGACTTGTGTATGATAACACAGACTCTTTGGATGTATCGCCTACTCTCTCAAAACATGCTTGTTCCACACTGCTTCTCAGGATGAGGTTTTTGGTTATAATTGAATTAGTTCTCACAAACATCTTGATACATACAAACATACAATACTTGAAGATCTTATCTACAAAATTAATCAATATGCAAATATTTCTAGGCTCCATTAAGCTCATTTGAAAACTTATCAGTAAGATTAAAAGGACTGACATTGAAAACCCCCAGGTTGTAAGTACACAGAACAGCAGGGTCACAGATTTTTAAATGATTAGAGCCTAAATTAAAAAAAAATCTACCAATCAAGGATTACTTTTTTATCTCAAAACGACAATGAAGTGTTACTAATTTAAATTATGTCATTGTTTCATTGCTAGATATTTTTTTCTCATACAGATTGCACTAAACTCTTTTCAGAATATAACACTAAGAGAACATTAATTTCATTTATATCTAAAAGTATTTAATTGTTGAATGAGGAAAAGACTTTGCAGACAGGGATCCTCTTCTTATTGTTGTTGCTTTAGAATCTTTACCAGCTAAATGTCTATTTTTAATGTTATGATTACTGAATTGAGTTCTGACTGAGTAATTTTGTTATATGTTGTTTTGTACAGTTGCTGTATTGTATTATTTTCATATATGGTATATGTAGATATGTGATATGAGCTCCTGATGTGCAAGACAAGTTCACTTTGGGATAATAAAGGTAAATTTGATTAAAACAGTGTCATGAATAAAGATTAATCAGGCGGCTCCAGTTGTCTTGCTAGCATCATTGGGCTGGAGAAATGTGAGTATGCAGGGTAGGATTGTGTGTTCCTGAGGTCCTGAGCATTGGAACACTGTGAGCTGACTGAAGAGGCTGTCAGTCTGACAGTCACTAATTTTGTTGGCCTATGATAATTGGAATAGGTGTATTTAGGCATTGCTTTGCTATTGCACAGTTAAAATGCTTGTAACCCAGACTTCTGCCGAGATTTCCAGTGGGAAGCTTGTTCATGATAAAAGACTGTATGACAGTGAGACCTACTCTGTCAATGCTTCAGCCTCACAACTGTAGTTTATAGTGAAGAGCAGTATAACACACAGTTCCAGTGCTGTGGATAAAGGAAATTCCAGGTTCTTCATAACATCTTTGCATATGTTTAGTTTTTAATTCTTATTATTAACATTTATGAGTATTATTTTCAGCTTAAGATGTACATTGGTTATAGGGCTTTACAGACGGCGAACTTTTTCACACAGTTGTTCGACCACAGGCAAATGAATTCCTATCGATGAGTATTAGAAAATAACTCAAATATAAACAAGCCCTTTCAACTTTTTGGTATCAAATCAGAGAGATTGAACTACACATCTACCTTCTTTACTCTACCGGGAAGTAGTTGCAAGATCAGTATCCATATGAACATTCTTCCTGAGGAAATACTTATTATATCTACATGTTACGCCTCTGAGATATTGGCAAGTATATTTTTGGTGCCACTTGTATTTTTACATAACCTAAAGCACCTGGAGCAGAAACGTAGCCAACATATGCTGTAATGTACTAGAAGAATAATAAAACATTCACCATATACTAATTTTCCATATACGGCCGATGCCATTTTTAAACAAAACTGCAGGAGACAAAGCTCCCAGCAGACACATTGCAGCTGATGTCAGCAGCCCAGGATCAGAATTGGCTAGCATACACTCCAGTCTGTCTTCGTCCCAATAATAGCAGCACTGAAGTTTCCAAATTAGCTTGGCATAACAGTGTGTTTAACAGGTGGGTCTGGGGGAAGGCTGGCTGGCTCTAGAGGAATGTTTCGGATCTAGCAACTATTGTGCTTAAGATGTACATTGGTTATAGGGCTTCTTTCATTACAGACGCTGAGCTTTTTCACACAGATTTTCAGTTGTTCGACCACAGGCAAATCAATTCCTACCCGTGAGAGGTAAATCACAGAAAAGTGAAAATACAGTAAAAAGGGAATGCAGTGGATTAGGGTATGCAAACTCCAGTTCAAAAAGCTATTTATAGCCTGTAATATAGTAGACTGTCGATAAACATCCATTCTAATGTTTAATTACAAGTTTGACAAAAGATAGATTATTTTCATGCTTTAGCCATGCATGATGGATTCTTGATATTTAGTGTATGCATATTAAGGCTTTGCAATCACTAAATGAAAGTATAACCAAACAAAAGACACAAATTACACAGTTAAGTGAATTACACTATCGTACATTAACTGCTTTGTGTCGGATTGAGAAACATGATAACTATCACAGACTAAAAAGTGACTGATAATACTTCATAATTAAAAAATAGTAAGTGAAACAAAATAAACCAATGTGTAATTTTTCATTTGCGCTGCTGTTTGTACTTTTAAATATCTACAGAGAGCTTTATGTTATGGGTCACATTTTTAAAATGTACTACCCTGCCTAATTAAAACAACATGTCACCTTTTTGTCAGTTTGCAAAACATGTTCAAAGCAGTATGCTATTGGCATTTCAAATTTATACAAGGAAATGGAAATATATAACTGTTAAAAACGATAATACTGATTAGGACATTTGCTGTAATTATCCACACTTTAACAGCTCCTACCACATTGTATAGCCACAATTCTTCTAAACCACTGCCTCGAGCACAGAAATAGACACACGAAATTGATCATAGATATGATATCAACCACACATCTGGTAAGAAGCACCTTTCTTTTTTGTTAGTTGAAATGTGCTTCTTGGATTGACATAAAACAGAAATAATCTGGATATGATGCTCCATTTGGGAACCCTGTTGTTGTAACAGTGCTTTATAACTGAACACCCAGTAAGACAAGGAACCATGTTACCATTCAGTGCAAGTGGAGCAAACCAAAAAAGGAGTTAATTCCAGTTTGTCACAAATCTGTTTGTTTTGTTTTACAAAAGCGAAAACAAATTTAGTCATCAGCAAACCAGCACTGCGGAATGAACAGCATTCCTCTCAACCCGTCCCCACTCCTTCGACTCTGTGCAACAAAACTATGTCCTACTGCACGACAACCAAACTGGCTCAGCAGTCTCAGCTTTTACCTTGATCCTCTTGGTCAATAAGGAGTCCAACCAGCTTTCCCACTTCACTGGCTTGAACATGGCTGACGTGGAGTGAGAGCCGGGGCAGTGCCAGGGGGCATTTAGCTGGAGAGCTGGGACTGGCCTGGCGAGCGGTGGGCAGGGGCGGCGGCTGTCCTTACTGCTGCTGCTGCTCGGCAGCCTCTTGTGTTTCTGCTCCACTCTCCGCCTTCAGCTGTTTTGTTTGTTTCGCAGGACAGAGCCGTGTGGAGATGGTACAGGCCTCCTCAGCTGATAACCCCGGCCTGGCAGGGCTGCCTTACATGGCGCTACTCTCTCGCTGTGGTGACTCCTCTAAAACAAAGGGCCCTTTCACCCTCCGGCCTTCCTCCCTCCCTCCCTCGGCACCTGTCGGGCTCAAGCCAGCCTGCCCTTCACAGCACAGGCTCTGCATACTGCCAGCGGCAGGCCCGCAATCCCCTAGTGCTTTCCAGCAAATTCCACACCCTTGTATTCCTTCAGATAAACAAGCACCCTCTGAAACATTTCCCTGGCTCACCTCTGCTGCCCTCCTGTTAGGCTCACCTAGACCAGGACGGTTCCTCTTGAGAAGAACGAGCTACAGCGCGGTCCTTCAGGAGAGCTGACTGGCCTCAACACAACGCAGAAATTATTAGCCGTTCCTGCCTAGAACACCAAAACATGCTCGATCTCCTAGCACAGTAAGGCTACATTTATAAATACAAATATACATTTTAAATAAAAGCTTTACCTCCAGGTACCCTTTGCATCAAATCTCGGTATATTTGCTGGAAATAGTTAAATCAATGACATGTTTGTATTTGCAGTATCAACTAATCTGTGAAGCCTCAAAAAAGTGTGATTTTATGAGAAATTGCTTTGAGAACACCATTTTTTAAGGTTTTAAGCCAACACAAAAACAGCTTATATTCCCTCCCTGTAAACTGAACCCAGGCTGTGGTGTTTGAAGATGCGTTTGACTGTTAAGATTGTGTTCCCTGCAGTGCTCGAGCTTTCGAGAATCTGCAAAATCAACAAAACCCTACAATATTCTTGTGATTTTTTAAAGAATTAAGAACTCTTTCTTATTCTATTCTTAATAACTGTATTAAAACAAGATTAACAGAAAATTTATAAGGGATAAAATCAAAAAGTAAGAGTTTCATACCAGATTACAATAGCAGATCACTATGTTGTTTGCTGAGTGTACCATAAATGTTTGATCTGTCAGTATAATTGAAACTTTTGCCTGATATTACAGAGCAGGACACTTGAGTCAGTTTTAGCTTTTCTTTCTCACAAATGATTATAAATCTCTTGAAGACAAACTCTTGCCTTGGAACAATGCACTCATACCTTTTGCATGCGTTGTTTGTTGCACTCTTTCATTATCATTTCCTACTAGAATGGTAGGTTTTAAAACAAGGGATTGTGGCCACAAATATGTTCAAAAACAGACAACACATCTTTGTTTTTGTGCCATAGTGCACAGTTTCTGGGCCCACCTCCTCAGTAGTCTGGAACTCAAAGCTAATTGAGTCCCTCCCCTCAAGCGACAATTCCATCTGCTTCTAATTTGCAAACATTTTAGATGAACAAAAATATTTTGTGTGTCTTTGATCTGTAAAGTTTCCTATAAGGAACATCTAACACATCCAGGGTGCTACATAAGGAATGCACTTTGCTTAATTAAATAGTTTGTTGTACATCTAGTTTTCTATGTTGTATAACTTTGGTTATATGACATATTTAGTTTGCTATATGTGCTCTTTTTAAAGATCCAAACACTCTGCTAACGATGTGTTTAGCTTTTTAATTTTGAACTGAAAGGCCTCTTCTGGAGGGGAGCTCAGCTGCAGGGGCTCTGAGATTCTTGCACATGCCTGCCTGTTTGGATCAGTCTTTGACAGCTGGCTCCACCAGCTGCCGTCCCCTCGTTCTGTTTTCCTCTCTGTATCTCCTACTCTCCATGTCCCTCTACGTGCATACAGACCTAGGTACATCATGATTAATTTCGGCATGGAGCATTTCACTTCCTTGCTCGGCTAAGTGCCTCTTCTGTACTCTCTTACTGTATTTTCTCCTGGTCACCATTCCAGATGGAAGGGATGGTCTAAATCAGAAAACCACTGGCTTCTACCCCTTTTGAGGAGCAACATGAGAAACATGCATGATGGGTGTTTTTTTCAATATCTGTTTGAGATTTGTTTTTCTGCTACGTGTATAAGGGAATTGTTTTTGTATACTCGAAGATGTGTTTTTTACTGTACCCAGCAAGACAAACAAAGCTCCTTGTAGAAAGATAAAGTCCTTCTGAGTTTAAGTGAGGGGAGTGGGGAAAGAAGACATATGAAATGCACTGGCCAAATCCACAGAATGGGAGCTCACCCCCAAAAAATGATAGAGGGAAAACTGAAAAAAGGGAATGACAAAAAGCATCTGCTCAAGCTCACGGTTTGGGTTTAAAGTGTCTGAATGTACTTCTTTTGATGTGAACAATTTGTGCCAATCAATCCGACCCAGTGTGATTTAAAGGTATCTTAGCATCCGCCCAATCTTTGGCTGCACTTAGACCTAGAAGCAGAAGATGTCATGTCTGAAGGTCAATAGCAGCAGGAAGCATCATTGACAAAGAGCAGTCAGGAGATCACAGTCACAAGCAAAAGTGCATAAAGTCACATTCAGCCAAAAATGCCCTATCACAAAGCATTGCCAGAGCATAGGTAGGCAGGTACCCACTACAGCAAGAGTACATCTTCAACAAAGAGGGTTGGGAGCAATCTTCATCTGCATCTGCATCTACCTGTATGGCATTGCTTATGTTTAAAATGGATTAACGGGTGTTCTCGATTTTTAAAGCAAGAGAAATCATTGTTCCCGAATGTATCCCATCCAGAACTACTAATCAGCTTGTCCTCTATACCACATAAAGATAATTGTGAGTGGACTGATTATAAATGAGAGAAGAAGCCTTTGACTCTATCATAGAGTCATGCACAAATACCTTAAAGCCAAGTTTAAAGAAACTGAGAATAGACTGGGATGTTGCCTAATACAGCCTTGTATTTTGTAACTTAGAAAAACGGATGTCTCTATGACTTCTTCGGATGACTGTGCAAGTTAAGTTGCTGATAACAGACGTCGGAAACAGTTGTCAGAAACAACAGCTTAATCATAGTTTATGATTAGCTAACGTATATGCATTCTGATTATTTTGCAGGGCTCCACCTTTGCAAGTTACACAGAAATATAAGAATAAGAAACGTTTTCCTGTACGTTGTATTGCTTGACCAGTACTCTTTCCCCCGAGTCAGAATTTCCAAAACAAACGGAGCACCATGGAGACGGCTAAGAGACACTGCATTGTAGGAAGTGACATGTTTTGGATGAATTGTTAAACCGAGGTGCTGACTACTAGGTAATTGAAGATCCCAAGACACTGTAAGAGTAGACGTAGTAGACCCTTATGCCTGGGTTAAATTCCACTCTGGGCTTACAAAAAGTCGACCATCCCTGAGATACCCCATGACTCAGGTGAGTGCTGTATATGTCAATAGCGGACAAACTGTATGTCCTTGCTCTGTGTGCCTTAGTGATTATACAGCTACAACAAAGAATTATTAATGATAGTAATGAGTAAAGATAAAGTCTAGAAGACATAATTCCCAGGCCCAAACATTTGTACAATCTATTTCAGAGCCAATATTTGTATCAGTATGGTATTTCAGACATTATCATCCTGAAGCCCTGTATAAAGCAGACCGCATCATAGACATGACCTGAAATCCTATCCTGGCTAGAACAGGAACAACAGAGCTCATAATTATTCATAGGCAGCATGTTTCACACGGGATGGAATCATACAAATATTTAAACTGTCTGTGGTGGGTCACCACCAAGTGAACCACAAATTCCTATGTAGATTATTTTGTGTATAAGTCCAGTTCATGAACAGGAAGTATACAATGACCTGCAAATTGAAATGTAGAATTTCCCACAGTCGTTGCAAAGAATCTTTACCCATCCTCAGTACAGGGTGAAGTTAGGATTCCCGTTAAGCTGTAATCTAACCAGCTGGCCATGTTTTTTTCCTGAGCAACATCTCAAATCCTTAGGGCTTGGTTTTGCATTTGCAGAAGAGCTCTGTAACTGTTCTACACTGGCACCAATAACAATAATCTGTACCCATCCAGCAGCATCTTAAAAAGAAACATGCTCTTTTCTTTCACTGGTAAAAGCAAGATTAGTAAGGATGGTTAGAAACTCTGCTCCTAACAGTATCACTTATTTTTTTGACAGTTCTTTTGTTTTTATTAAAACTCCAGGCCCTCATGGAAGGAAACACAGAAGCAATTACAAAACAAAACAGACCACAGACACTTCCACAGTTCCACAATTCACAGTACATAGCAGTGTTTTAGTCAAAAGACAAAGGAGAAAGGAAGAAAAAGACAAAGAACACAAAACATCACATCATCTGAACAACTTTGTCAATAGTAGTGTCCCAAGCCACCAATGTAGTGATAAAGGCTGAGTGCAGCCAAGACATGGACCTTTCTAGAATCAAACTACCCTAACCAAACACATGAAAAAGCAATATCAGGCTCTATCCAACTCCCCTGAATAGTCCTTACTGCTCTGAAATTTCACCACAACCCATAATCAGCACATTAACTCAGATACGTTGCAATAACGTGTGATGGTTGAATTACATCTTATTCTTATAATTTATTATTGATTTTATTGAACTTATTGATTTAATTTAACTTTGAATTTATCTATGTCTGTCCCCACGGGCGTTCACAGTTTTTACTTGAAAAACAGGTTTACTGGCAATTTCAGAAGCTTTGATCTAATTTATCCCAATTTGTGAATTGCACACATGCTTTACTTAAGTGTTTTTTAAGTTTAAATTAAACATCACAATCATTATCTGGAACAGACCCTCAGTGAACTTAATAAGAGGGAGAAAAATGTATGTTCTTCTCATGTTAAATGTAAATACATTTTCTGCATACTTAAAAGATAATATATGTTTCTAATATTTCCCAGTAGTTTGTTTCTACAGTTTCTGAATGTTTCTACAGTAGTGCTAACTATTAGGAAGGAAGAAAATTGATTGGCCAAGAAGTTCTGCATCTGCTTTCTATAATTGAATGATGAAGGCTGGTTTGTTACTGGGTTCAGTTGAACACATTACCTGCTCCAGCAAAAAATACATACAATTATAATCCTTTCCACTTAAGCTTTGCTGTGTATTGTATAAAGTAAATACAAGAGTAGTGCCAATAAGATCCTG